AGTGGGTGTGGGGTTTTACCATTGATCAGAAAAATAGTTACGAATTCACCGGTCAACAGCTTTCTTTGTGAGGCTAAAAGGATGCTGCACTTAAAAATGCAAGTTTCCTAATCTTTTCCTAATCTTCATTTCCTAATCTTGGTCCAAGTTTTCATTCATTCAGACAATCGGGGGTTACACTCTACTTAAGGAATACACTCCCCAAGACTTTAGGCTTTGCTTCTTACATTACCGAGAACAAGAATTCAGAGGAAGGAAACATTGAGAAACAGCTGTTGACCAAATGAGCAAGGGCAGTGATGATATGTGAACAATAATGGTGGTATCACCTTGTATTTAGAAAGTGTCTTTCTCCAGAAAGGATCACGGTACTGTACAGACATGTATATTTTGTCTTTTATCCTTAGTGATTGAAAAAATTAGGTCCATTCTTATTAATGAGTATTTCCATTCTTATTAACATGTATTAATGTATGGATATTTCTTATATCTATTTTGGTTGTTTCCATTTGCCACATTTTAACTGCAATGAATTCCTTCATTGAGCAGTATCTACAAATTGCATTGACTTTCTTCAACTGTCTAGAGTCGTATTTTCTATATCCTTTTCACCTTTGGGCAGTAACTTCTTTCTGCTTTTGCTATGTTGGTAGCTTCATGCTTTACCAGTCTGAATTCATGTCGGCATGGTCATCTTCATCTTTTTCTTCCTTCCTTCCTTTCTTTATTTTTGGCTGCATCAGGACCAGTTAGAGCACACAAGTTCTTTTGTTGAGGATCAAGAGCTCCTCTTCAATTGTACTGCATGGGTTCTAGAGCATAGGCTCAGCAGATGCCACACGCAGCCTTAGTTGCAATGCCAAACCCCACACGTGGGATCTTAGTTCTCAGACCAGGTGTCCAACTAGCATCCCTTGTGTTGGAAGGCAGATTCTTAACCACTAGACCACCAGGGAACTCCCTCATCTTGCCTTTTGAATCATCAGAACTTGCCTATAAATTCTGTCCTACAATTCCATGTATCACCACCGAACTTCACCCTCCTGCTATTGTAACTTATGCAATTCCCTTTTTCACATGATCGTTTTCCTGAAAGATGTTCCATCTGCACAGCTATGTAATTATTTTTTAAAACTCCTTGACACTGGGGATACATGCACCAGATGTTCCTGACTTTTCTCTTCCTTCTACATAATGTAACTTAAGATGTGTCTTTTTCTCCCACCTTCCTGAACTTTACAGGCCAACCATCCCAACATAAGTTTGTGCCACTCCTTTAGATTCTCTTTGGATGGCTCCTTAAATGCTCTTTCTTTACACATCAGTAGAAGAAATCTTTCTCTGGGAACGCATTTTACTCTAAAGTCATATTATCTGATGAATATTAGTTGGAATCAAAGATCACAGACGCAAAAGGGGGCCCCGATTTTGTATCTTTCCCTCTGCCTTCTTGTTCTCACTTAGGCAGTGCAACTGACCAAAGCCCAAAGAAGTGATGTGTCCCAGGTCATGGCTCTAAGAAAAGGAAGCAGGAGCTAGATGCCAGCTCCCTAGAGGAGGTGCCGTGGGACTGGGGAGGCAGCTGGCACCAGAGAAGAGAAGTCTCTGAGTGCGTAAACTGAGCAATTGGTACTTGCATGGAGAAGTTATCGGCGCACTTGGACTCCAATCTGTAATAGTTAAGGAATTGAAGGGAATTCCCTGGTGGTCCACTGGTTAGAACTCCACTCTTCCACTGCAGAGGTTGAGGGTTCGATCCCTAGTAGGGGAGCTGAGATTCTGAAATCTGCACTACTTGGCCAATTTTTTAAAAATTACTATTAAAAAGCTATATAGGAATGAGAATTATGGAAGAATGGGATTGTGCTCAGAGACTATTGTTCCAGTCATCCGAGGCTGATTAAAAACCACCCAAGGGGACTTCCTTGGAGGCACAATGAATGAGTTCGCCTGCCAATGCAGGGGACATGGCAGGTTCGATCCCTGGTCTGGGAAGATCCTACCTGCCTTGGGCAGCTAAGCCCATGGGGCACAACTACTGAGCCTGTGCTCCAGAGCCCAGGAGCCATAACCACTGAGTCCGTGTACATAGAGCCCGTTCTCTGCAAGAGAACTCACTGCAGTGAGAAGCCTGCACATTGCAATGAGAGAAAGCCCGCATGCAGGAATGAAACCAGAAAGAAAAAAATAAACTAAAGAAAAAAACCCCAAAACTTAGAGCCTTGAAACATCCATATTTTGCTCACAAGCCTGCAATCTGAGCAGAGTCCTGCAGGGATGTCTTGTCCCTGCTCTCTTGGGGTCAGCTGGGGTCACTCAAAGTCTAGAGCTAGAACAACGGTCTGAAGGCTCACCCCATTTGGAGTTCTGGAGGACCAAACAGCTGGGGCTTCTCAGACACGGCTCTCCATAGCTATGTGATCTCTGTACGTGGACCTTCCATGAAAGCAGCAGGAAAGCCAGACATCCTACCCGTCCCTGTCCCTTCCCAGGGCACACAGCTCAAGAAAGCTGCTAGAAGCTGTACCTATGTTCATGCTCACCTCCAGAAGCCAGGCAGCATCACTTCTGCCATGTTCTCTTGGTCCAGCAGTTACAAAGGTCTTCCCAGACTGAAGAAGAGAGATCACACCAACTCCTGGGCATATATCTGGACAAAATGATATTGAAAAAGATATCACATACCCTTATGTTCATCGAAGCACTATTTACAAGAGCCAAGACAAGGAACAACCTAAACATCCATTGACAGATGACTGGATAAAGAAGATGTGGTACATAGATACAGTGGAACACTACTCAGCCATAAAAAAGAATGAAATAATGCCATTTGCAACAACATGAATGAACCTAGAGATTATCATACTAAGCAAGTCAGACACAGAAAAACAAACACCATGTGATATCACTTACATGTGGAGTCTAAAATGAGACACAAATGCATTTATCTCCAAAACAGATACAGACTCACACACATAAAGAACAGATTTGTGGTTGCCAAGGGAAAGGAAGGGTGTGGGAGTCATGGAGTGGGACTTTGGGGTTAGCAGATGCAAACTGTTATACATAGGATGGAGAGACAACAAGGTCCTACTGTATAGCACAGGGAACCCTATTTAATATCCTGTGATAAACCACAATAGAAAAGAATATGAGAAAGAATGTATACATAGGCATAACTGAATCACTTTGTTGTACAGCAGAAAGTAATACATTGTAAATCAACTATACTTCAACAAGATAGTATTTTTTTATTTTTTATTTTTTTAAGGAGGAGAGATTACAAACTCCATCTCTGGATGGAGAGGTGTCAGCGGTCATGCTGCTGTAAAAAGAGCTCAGGATGAGATGGATATCAGAGCAGCTCTCTTGGAAAAACACAACCTGCTACAACTGAAAACCACTGAATCACCAACCAGGAAACACAGAGCTGAAACGGACCTGGGAAAGGTCATCATATGTCATTAACCAAACTCATTCTGTAAGACACAGCTCAAAGGGCCCTTCCCTTGGAATCGGTCTTACGTATCTGTGTATGTGTGTGTGTGTGCGCGCGTGTGTGTGCGGGCTTTTGTCCTACAGTCAAGGCAGAAGGCATAAACTGCAAATGTCGACCTAGAGAGCAGCTGGGATTGTCTAAAGCAATGGCTCTCCAAGTTCACCTGCATCAGAATCACCTGATGAGCCAGATCTGTTGAACTGCCCCCACCCACACACCCGTTTCTGATTTCACAGGTCTGGGTTGACCCTGAGAACTTGCATTTCTCAGTGGCCCCAGCCCGATTTGTTGCTGGTGGTCTTGAACGGCGTTTTAAGAACCACTCGCCTAAAGGCTTATCAGAGCCGGGGGTAGTGGCCATAGCCGCAGCCCCAGCAGAGACGCGGGAGCCAGAAGGTTGGAGAAGACGACCCTAGAGGTGGAAGCGGCCTGATGTTAACTAACACAGCGCACGTCCCTGCCGCCCGGGCTCGGCCAGAGCACACGCGGGCGCCGGTGCCGGGTGGCGCGAAGGCTCACGCCGCCCGCCCGAGTCCTCAGCCGCGGGGGTCGGGCGACCCCTGCTGGCGGCCCCTGGGCTGTGCGAGCCGGGACCGCACGCCTGACCCTGGCAGAGGCGGGCGGGGCTCAACCGGACCCGCCCCCCGCCGCCTTCCTTCGGGAAGGGGCGGGGAGCGCGGTCCGCGGGCACGCAGGCCCCGCCCCCAGGGTGGCGGGGCCTCTTCGCCGTGACTGGCCAGCGTCGCTAGTGCGCGGTGACGTTACACCTGGACAGGAAGTGTCAGAGAGGAGCGCGGGAGCTGCGAAGTGAACGCTCTGCTCTGTTGGGGAAGAGGTCTCGCCCCAAGCGTTCCGCGAGCGTCCGGCCGTCGCTGCCCGCCGATTCGGAGGGCCTGTCAGCCTNAGGAGAAGAAGGGGACGACAGAGGATAAGATGGTTGGATGGCATCACCAACTCAATGGACATGAGTTTGAGTAAACTCCGGGAGTTGGTGATGGACAGGGAGGCCTGGCATGCTGCAGTCCATGGCATCGCAAAGAGTCGGACACGACTGAGCGACTGAGCTGACTGAATTGACGGAGGCTCCAGGGATGCGACCTCATCTCCATCACCCATCTTCCTAAGCCTCTGGGTCACTGACCGGCCAGGTCATTGTGTCCCCAGCCCTGAGAGGTGCCATGATTAATATTAGAGCCGAAGCCAGCGCAGCCGCTGAGGAAAGGATCTCCTCCTGGAAGGCAAACAGATGTGATTGGTGCTCCATTCAGCGAGCACCTGGAAACCCTTGTAAGGAGTGACCGCTGTGAGAAATTGATCCCTGACCTAAGATGTGAAGGAAGAGGCAACACATTACAAAACCAAAGCCGATGAACGTTCTAGCCACTGCCAACTCGCCTCTACAACCTGCGTAAACCTTTCTCTCCCAGGTATTGTAGTTGCGTGTTCGTGCAAATAAATACAAACACACAGCATTGTATGGGTTCTTTTATTTATCAGGTTCCTGGTTTCAGAGAAGATGGCAGAGGAAGCAGACATCTTGGGACAGGACTCTGATGGGGACAGTGAGGAGGTGGTCCTGACCCCTGCCGAGCTCATTGACCGGCTGGAGCAGGTAAGCAGCCCACACAGAATCCCCCTGCTGCAAGCGCAGCCTCTTTAGCTAGTCCAGCGCTTCGAATGTCAGGATTCAAGAAATGCGGGGATGGAATTCAAGGCTTCTTAGAAGAGAAGAGACTGCATCTTACCATCTCCACAGAAGTAGGAAGTATAGGCACAGCCAGATAGAAAGTTCATAATGTCGAGCACAGAATCCTCAGGTGGGTCCAGTAAAGGTCGGCTTTGGGGACAGTTACAAGAACAGTTCACAAAGCAAGGATCTAGTTGGTATTTGTGGGGACTACAGAAGCGCTTGATAGAGACATTAAAGTTCTAGAAAATGCTGAAACACCTTTAGGAGAAAACTGGTCTCATCCCTCCTTTTCCTCCAGTTTCTTTTGCCACCCATTCTGTACATTTATAGTGCTTGCCTCAGATCACCCCTGGGATGTTTCTCCTTTTAGTCGTAGTCGCTGTGGTTTATTGAGTATTTCTTCTGTGTCAGGATTCTTTATATTTCTGGTCTCATGAAGCCTTGGTAGTGAAAGAGTTCAGACTACCTGGGTTTAAATCCCTCCACGCCCCTGGTCTGTTTTACAAACATAGGCAGGTTGTATAGTTTGTCTCTAGCATGCCCTTGACTATAACGTGGAGGGAATGGTAGCGGCTACCTCATGGAATTATTGTGAGGACTGAATGATGTAACGTGTGTGAAGTACTGAGTGTGGACTGAGGTGTGTGAAAGGCTCACTGAATGTCAGCTGTGAGCAGTGAGGCCCCTCACAACCCCCTGAGGGAGGTACTGTGTTATTTCCGTTTTAGAGTTGAGGAAACTGAAGCTTCGCGATGAGAGGTGTAGAGAAACTTGCCAGGGTCTACAACAGCATCAGAGCCAGGATGTGAACCAGGTCTCTCTGATTCAGCCCACCTGCTGCCTTATTCCTCTCCCTGCAATTGCCCCTTTCCAGAACTCTCTTGTGTCTGTTACTTTAGGATTCATTCTCCCCTACCATACATGCCATTGTGAGTGATGAAACCCAAGGAAGGTAATTTTAACCAGTCAGGGAAAGCCCCTTATTTCTGTTTTGTTTATGAGAAACCCTGGAGCAACCAGGTGAGGCTTTCTAGTTTAATAAAAATCCTGGGGAAGGTCTTATGAAGACTCTTTCTAAGTGTTAATAGGGATTTGATCAGCTTATTTGGGTTGCAATTTACAAGTTTTAGAAATGTTACATAACCTTCCCCACATCCTAATTCTTACAGATCTCATTAGTGTTGAACCAATGCTTTCTCATATCTCAATTCTTTGCGTATGCATTCTTTTCAGATGTATTAAACAAACAAAAATCCTTCAAAAACTAAATTCTATCACAAACCTTTTTAAGAATCTAGTGAGGGAGGGGGGATCGGGATGGGGAATACATGCAAATCCATGACTGATTCATGTCAATATATGACAAAACCCACTACAATAGTGTAAAGTAATTAGCCTCCAACTAATAAAAATAAATGAAAAAAAAAAAAGTATCTAGTGAAAACTCTGGCCCTTCCTCCCAGAGCAGTGCACATGTACACCCACACAGAATTTTGCATATACTATCAGAAGATTCACAGGCACCCTGAAAATTTTANATGAAAAAAAAAAAAAAAAGAATCTAGTGAAAACTCTGGCCCTTCCTCCCAGAGCAGTGCACATGTACACCCACACAGAATTTTGCATATACTATCAGAAGATTCACAGGCACCCTGAAAATTTTAAACCCAATGAGATATCAATCACTCATACCCATCAGATGGGCAGAAATGAAAAAGGTGAACAGTAGAGAGTGTTGGCAAGAGTGTAGAGCCTTTGGCATACTTGTAAAGCCACTCCAGTATTCTTGCCTGGAGAATCCAGGGACAGAGGAGCATGGCGGGCTACTGTCCATGGAATCGCAAAGGGTCAGACACGACTGAGGGATGACACTTTCCCTTTCATACCACAGTGGATGTGTAACGTGGTACCGTCACTTAAAAAAATAACTTGTTATTTTCTAGTCAGGTTGAAGAAGGCACACATATCCTGTGGTCCAATTTTTCTCCTCTCAGGTGCATACCTAGAGTAAGGCATATACACATAAAGAGGGGGAGAAAGAGTAGGAAAATGGATAAAAGCTCCTGCCGCCGCATGGATAGCTCTCAGGAGCATCATGTAGAAGAGCAAACGATGGTTGCTGAAGAAACTGTACAGCTCAGACCCCTGCCAGGCTGTTGTCCAGGGCGGAGCTGGCCAGCATGGTGGCCGCACAGGCCGAGGCTGTGCAAGGGCCCAGATGCTGCCCCCCGTCCTCGGGGGCAGCGGGGCCCCAGACCGATGGCTTCTGAGCGCCCTCAGGGCTCCTGGGAAGGCAACCCAAGGAGGGCGGATCTGACGGCCTTGGCAGGGGTGGCAGGAATTGCACCCGGGGCCTGAGGCTCTCCTGCAGGGACGCCCTGTGGGCGGCCGAGCGCCTGGACAGCCTTGCGGGGTAGCCTGACAGGCCGCTGGTGAGCACGGCTCCAGGACCCGTGTAGGATACTCCTGAATGCTTGTGGGAAAAGAAAGGATTTCAAACATTGCCTAAAACGCAGTTTCTCATCTTAACGGTGGTATGAGTTTGCTAAGGCTGCCTGACAAGTACCACAGGCGGGGCGGCTCCAACAGCAGAGCCATGTCTTCTCCCTTCTGGAGGCTCCTCTGTCTGAGAGGAGATCAGGGGCTGACTCGCTTGGTCTCCTCAGCGGCCCGGCTCCTGGCCTTGGAGGCGCTGTCTCCGTGTCCTCACGTGCTCTTTCCTCCCCGGAGATAATTTCACACAGAGAGTGAATGTACATGAAGAAGAGAAGGCGACCACGGACTGAACCTCAGGTCGCTTGGAGTCCGCCTTTTCCTGCAAGGACACCGGCCATGTTGGATTAGGGCGCCCCCTAACTACCGCGTTTTAAGCTGCTGTTTTCTTCCCTGGTGGCTCAAAGGTTAAAGCGCCTGCCTGGAATGCGGGAGACCGGGGTTCAATCCCTGAGTTGGGAAGATCCCCTGGAGAAGGCACCCCACTCCAGTACTCTTGCCTGGAGAATCTCATGGAGGGAGGAGCCTGGTGGGCAACAGTCCATGGGGTCGCAAAGAGTCGGACACGACTGAGCGACTTCACTTTCACTTTACTTTCTTTTGTCCTTCAGCAGCTTAAGTCGGCCCGATTCTTCTCAGCGTCGTGGACAGTAGCTCACCAGGCTCCTGTCTGTCGTCCTTTATCTCCCAGAGTTTGCTCAGAGCCATGTTCGTTGAGTCAGTAACGCCATCTTAACCTAACTACCTCTTTACAGACCTCATCTCCAGAGACCTTCTGAGGCACTGAGAGTTTGGACTTTAACATATAAATTGAGCGGTGGAGGTGGGCACATTTCCTCCCAGTAACAGTGACAAACAGATTGTCGTTAAAATTTTTTTCAACGTAAGTCATTTCAAACACAGAACTGGATTTTAAAAGACTGAACTGAAACACAAGATTCTCACTAAAAATTTTGACAAGATTTATTTGGACATTTTGTATTAGTGTAAACTTCTCCTAATGTTATATGTTTTTATTACCATGATTTCATACTGTACATGAGAAATCTCCCCAGATCTCCTCCATTTTGCCCAGTGTACCACACAGACATTGTCTTTTCTTTGAGGGCCCTGTCATGGGAAGGTTGGTAAGCACTGTGTAGAGATACAAACAGGTGTAATGAAATGACAGAAAATTAAACTCTAAATTCAGGCTAATGATCACCTCTGAGGAGGGAGGGCGAGAGGCAAGGGGACTTATAAGAAGATGGTATTCTTTAGTGAAGTTATGTGCAGTCAGCTGTTGATCACTGTTTTTCATGTTATGTATTTCATAAATATTTTTTTACCTATTCAATATATATTAAAATCAGTTAAAAGAAAAATTCCTGCTATAAGGCTTAACTGATAGTTTGATCTTTTCTCATTCATCACGCTACTTGAAAATACATACCATCTTTCTGGTTAGTTTTCTATATCTGCAAACTATTCCAGAAGCCTAAACACCTGAAAAAACAAAGAAAAAACTTTACCATAGTAGCAACACCCAGTATTTAATAATGCTTCTGGATGGTGATAACTGGAGGAACGGAGACTGGAGGGTGTCAAAATGAATAAATGGAGCTTGCCTGACCTGTAATTCTGAGCTATGCTAAAACTAAATTTTTTTGTGATTGAAAGATAAGTACAGTTTCCTCAATCCCCTGTGGATATTTCAGTTCCCTAAGCCTTGGTGATTTCTGAAATGTACCAAGCATCTGGGCCTGAGTCATAAATTAGGGATTTAACCTCTTGTTCCACAACCGCTTAACAGATGAGTTTATACATTTTTGTCTGTGATCCTTTGTACTCATGCGTAGTTTGGACTTTAACATATAAATTGAGCGGTGGAGGTGGGCACATTTCCTCCCAGTAACAGTGACAAACAGATTGTCGTTAAAATTTTTTTCAACGTAAGTCATTTCAAACACAGAACTGGATTTTAAAAGACTGAACTGAAACACAAGATTCTCACTAAAAATTTTGACAAGATTTATTTGGACATTTTGTATTAGTGTAAACTTCTCCTAATGTTATATGTTTTTATTACCATGATTTCATACTGTACATGAGAAATCTCCCCAGATCTCCTCCATTTTGCCCAGTGTACCACACAGACATTGTCTTTTCTTTGAGGGCCCTGTCATGGGAAGGTTGGTAAGCACTGTGTAGAGATACAAACAGGTGTAATGAAATGACAGAAAATTAAACTCTAAATTCAGGCTAATGATCACCTCTGAGGAGGGAGGGCGAGAGGCAAGGGGACTTATAAGAAGATGGTATTCTTTAGTGAAGTTATGTGCAGTCAGCTGTTGATCACTGTTTTTCATGTTATGTATTTCATAAATATTTTTTTACCTATTCAATATATATTAAAATCAGTTAAAAGAAAAATTCCTGCTATAAGGCTTAACTGATAGTTTGATCTTTTCTCATTCATCACGCTACTTGAAAATACATACCATCTTTCTGGTTAGTTTTCTATATCTGCAAACTATTCCAGAAGCCTAAACACCTGAAAAAACAAAGAAAAAACTTTACCATAGTAGCAACACCCAGTATTTAATAATGCTTCTGGATGGTGATAACTGGAGGAACGGAGACTGGAGGGTGTCAAAATGAATAAATGGAGCTTGCCTGACCTGTAATTCTGAGCTATGCTAAAACTAAATTTTTTTGTGATTGAAAGATAAGTACAGTTTCCTCAATCCCCTGTGGATATTTCAGTTCCCTAAGCCTTGGTGATTTCTGAAATGTACCAAGCATCTGGGCCTGAGTCATAAATTAGGGATTTAACCTCTTGTTCCACAACCGCTTAACAGATGAGTTTATACATTTTTGTCTGTGATCCTTTGTACTCATGCGGTTAGCAAATAACATAATCTGTATTTTCTCATCAAGGAGATAAGGATAACTGAATCTGTGTCCTCTCAGTTATTGTAGTGATAAATGACAAAGTATTTGTAAAGTGCACCAAGCTTCAGGAAGAGATGTGAGGTTTATATAGCTTAACCTCATCTCTCAGAATGGAAGGGTGTTAGTGCCCCCTGGTGGGCAATATCAGGTATAGACCTGTGGACACCATGTGGGTTACTCTCGGCTGTGGGTGTGCTAAGGGCACAGCCTTCCCACTAAAGGAAATTAAAAAAGCCATCATTAAACATAACTTGTCTTCAAAGCATCCCCAGTATTTCCAACTAGTCATTTTCTTTGCTGAGGTCGCTGTGATTTTAGGGGTATGTACTGACTCACAGGGTTATTTTGCTCCATGTTGAGTAATGCTCTTTTTTGGCTTTGTTTCTTAGGCGTGGATGAATGAAAAGTTTGCCCCTGAGCTTCTGGAAAACAAGTCTGAAATCGTAGAATGTGTCATGGAGCAGCTGGAGCACATGGTAAGCGGCGCCTGCCTCAGGGTCCAAAGGAGAGACCCTTAAGAGGTGTTTGAGCACAGTGAAAGTCTGCCAGCAGATCTGTTTTGTTGGGCCCAGCCTAGTTTTGGGTTTTTTGTTTGTTTTTTAATGTTGAATTCCTTATCTACCTTTACAAAGCCTGGGAACTCCTGGGAACATCAGGATGTCAGCTTCCCGTGATACCCCAGGTATGTCAGCTTCTGAAAACCTGTTCTCAGCCTTCCTGCATTTGTGCGTGAGAACAGCTGACAAGCGCAGGCAAGGCCCCCGCTCCCAACATGCCCCCCAGGCCGCCAGCCCCTGGGTGCACCCTCTCTTGTGTTCCTCACCAGCCTGGCCCTGTAGCCTCTAAGTGTGCTGTTGTTTAACCGCAGAGTTGTATCTGACTCTTTTGTGACCCTGTGGACTGGAGCCCGCCAGGCTCCTCTGTCCATGGGATTGGGCTGCCATTCCCTTCTCCAGGAGACCTTCCCAACTCAAGGGTCAAACCCACGTCTCCTCCGTTGGCAGGCAGATTCTTTACCACTGCGGCATCAGGGACACCCTCTGAGTGTGTGGTCCTTGGCTTAGATGAGCCAGTTTCAGCCACTCCCAGCCTCAGGCTAGCTTTAAAACGCTGGTATTCTACAGTTTCTCAACTGGTGTTTTCACTCTGCTTTTAAGACCCTTTAGACATTTCTTAAATGCTGTATTGTCTAGTTTACACTTGCGTTGGAGTTCTTCTGGGCCCTTCTGACTGACCAAATTCAGGTTCTATTCAAATGGTCATTTTCTAAAAGTGAATGAGTGCTGCTTGCACTTTTATGTCCTGAGCTTGTGGTCACATATTGTTTGTATAATTAAGAGATGAGAAGAAAATCAGAGCTCTTACACAGTGAGTATTTTGTCCTCCTCTGACCTAAATGTAGCCTCCGAGTCCTCAGTGTTGCCAACGATGACAGTCCTCAAGGGCCGTGGGCACATTGAACAAAAAATGTTCTTAGTCTTTGACTCTTGGCTTTTTTTTTTTTTTTTAAACAAACTTCTTTTTCTCTCTGAACAGGAAGAAAATCTCAAGAGGGCCAAGAAGGGGGACCTGAAGGTCAGCATCCATCAGATGGAGATGGAGCGGATCCGCTTCGTCCTGAGCAGCTATCTGCGCTGTCGGCTCATGAAGGTCGGGGAGCCTGTCGTGGGGGCTGAGGATCCTGGGAAGGGGCTGGGAGGGTCCCGGGCCTGGAAGCGCTGCCCAGGCCTCACGTCAGGGGAGCCAGAGTCAGGCGGGCGACAGACCGTCCTGGAGGAGCAGATGCGAGATGTGGGTGGCCGTCGGCTTCCTCCTCCTCCTCCCGGGACACTTTGAGTCTGTCTGCTGCGAGAATGGCGCCCCCTGGAGTGACCGCGGGGCAGTGCTGAGGGCGGAGGTGTTGGCAGCGGCTGACCAGAGGGGACTGAGTTTTAAGAACTGTTTTGCATGTCATTCAGTCAGTGTCATGTGGACCATGATAATGACATTCAGCTGTATCTGACTTAGAAACACGGAGCTGCAAGGCATTCTTCCTCAGTGTTTTGTACGATGTCTGTTTTAACCCCGGAGGTTCTTACCTCCTTGACGTTTCTTCTCGTTTGGTTCCACTTGTCCACTTAGTTATGACAAAGCTAATATGGCTGATTCTTGAACAGCACAGGTGTGAACCGCACGGGTCCACCGATACACGGATTGTTTTCAGTAAACATGTGACGCATCCACAGATGCAGAACCTCGGATGTGGAGAGCCGACTGTAAAGTTATTCAACGAGTTGGGGTCGGAGGTGTGGTTTCCCCAAGCTTCCTATTGTTCAGGGATCACCATGATCCCTGATGTACCATCTTCCATGTGCAGTCACTTCCAATTCTGAGGACCGCTCACAAAGGCTCATCGGCGTCCTCTCGGTTAAACATTTCAGTCATTTATTTCCCTTAACTCTCCTGGTCTCTTCCCTAAAACATTTGTCAGTATCCTTCTTAAATCATCACACCTGTAACAGGACATAGAATTCCTCTTGTCCTTTGGTCACTTTTGTGAAAAGCAGGATGGTCACTTCCCTTCTCCTGGACATCGGACTGGGAGTAATGACACCCAGGTCACATGGCGTCTCTGATGGTGACAGCCTGGGTTCATTCTGCGCTCACCGTGAGCGCCAGCCTCTTTTCTAATTTTTCAGCTGTCATGATTATTACCTCTTCCTGTCACTGTCCTTTGCCTGTCACTGTATTTGCATGGCTTGATTTTTGACCCTTCCGTGTAGGGGTCAATACACGGACCTCTTAAGCTTCTCCTTGTTAAGTTGGGCAGTTCCCTGGTCTCTGGATCTCCATCTCGTCACCTAGTTTATTCGTTATCTCAGCGAGTTTGATGCGTGTGTGATCAGAGGTCTTACCTGGCTTGTTAATAGGACTGGGCCAGAGTTAGATCGTCCCCTGAGCCTTCCCCGTGGGTCAGCATCCGTCACTGAACCGGTGTTCAGTTGTTTATGAGCCTCTAGTCTGGACTGTCACCAGTCTCCCCACCCCTGCTCCAGCTCATCCACAAAGGCATCAGAGACAATACCACCTGTTTGGAACAAATGGAGACACACGGCCTGCCTCTCCCCACCTTCAGCTGCCTGACCGCTCAGTTTTCTGTGTGTGTGGTGGGGTGAATCCTCGTCACGATCACTGCTCACTTTCCTTTGAGTTCACAAACCATCTTTTCAAGTATTTATTCTAATATAACAATACGTACGACATGAAGGACCCAGATCTGTGTTGATGATCCCCATCCTCCTTTGTATATTTGAAAATCAGGAAACACGCCTGCCTCTTATCTTTCCCACCCCTTCTGAACTCAGTGACTCTGAGATTCTGAAACGGCACGCATTCTACTGCAGCAGCAGCGACGATCCACATGAAGATGGGAGACAGTGCATCACACACTCAGACTCCATACACACGTGAATTTAAGTCATCCTGCAAGACAGTGGTTCTCAGCTGAAAAACCTCACCCCTTTAAGGATAAATGCTGCCTTCTCTTGGCCTTCAGCTCCTCCTCACTTGTGCTTACGAAGGGCACAAGTTTCTCTGGCCAAGGTGATCTTGACTGCCTTGATTCCGAACAAGAGACCGCCCTTCCTGGTTCCTGACCAAGCACCTCTCTGTAGCTTTTAGCTTCGCTGTTGTCCTGTTTTCTGGTAGTTCTTAGCATTTCTCCAGGGCTTACCCGTTTGTGGACTTGATTCTTGCCCGTTATGCTCTTTGATTCGAGCGCCACTCCTGTCAGCTCGTGTGTTCTGTGTGTCTTTCCCGCCCCGCGTCTGCTTCGTCTTTTGCAGAAGGATGCCTGTACAACTACGCAGAAGTGCTGGCTGACGGCCCCATCCTGCCCTTAAACTCCATTTCCACACGTCTCTCCAGAGTTTCCTTCAAGCCCTTCCACCCTTTTTAAACTGCCTTCCTTTTTCAAGCCCTGGTCTTCCCTCTGAATTCTCTGAAACCTGCCTTCTTGAAGTGTAGCAGGTAGGTCTTATGATTAGCAAGAGGCTCAACCATGAAGACTCACCACTTTGTTTTTTTCCTGTTTTTTGGCTGCACGTGGTATGCAGGATCCTAGTTCCCCGCCCAGGGATTGAACCTGTGCCTCTTGCAGTGGAAGCAGGAGTCTTAACCAGTGGACCACCAGGGAAGTCCCAAGACTTGCCTTGGTTATTTATGCATTTTTGACTCTGCTGGTGCTTCACTGCTGTGCAGACTCTTCTCTAGTCGTGGAGACTGGGGGCTCCTCTCTAGTTGCGGTCTTAGGGCTTCTTGTTGCAATGGCTTCTGTTCTCGCAGAGTGCGGGCTCTAAGACTCAAGAGTTTCAGTACCTGCAGCCCGTGGGTTCAGTAGTTGCGGCTCCCATGCTCTGGAACACAAGCTCAATAGTTGTGGCAGCCGGGCTTAGCTGCCCCGCGGCATGTGGGATCTTCCTAGACCAGGGATCGAGCCTATGTCTCCTGCGTTTTGGCAGGCAGATTCTTTACCACTAAACCACCAGAGAAGCCCAAGACTCACCATTTTTAAAGTCCATTTCTAGATTAACCTCCACCTGTTTCAGGAGACTCGTCTACGTGCTGCTAGAATCAGACGAGGCCTTCGATGACCCACTTGATCAAACTAAGTGATTGCATGAAGCGTTGACAGATGTTTCCTGTCCCCGCAGATAGAGAAGTTTTTCCCTCATGCTCCCATGCTCTGGAACACAAGCTCAATAGTTGTGGCAGCCGGGCTTAGCTGCCCCGCGGTATGTGGGATCTTCCTAGACCAGGGATCAAGCCCATGTCTCCTGCGTTTTGGCAGGCAGATTCTTTACCACTAAACCACCAGAGAAGCCCAAGACTCACCATTTTTAAAGTCCATTTCTAGATTAACCACCTGTTTCAGGAGACTCGTCTGCGTGCTGCTGGAATCAGACGAGGCCTTCGATGACCCACTTGATCAAACTAAGTGATTGCATGAAGCATTGACAGATGTTTCCTGTCCCCGCAGATAGAGAAGTTTTTCCCTCACATCCTTGAAAAAGAAAAGACCCGCCGAGAGGAGGAGCCTTCCATCCTTTCTCCAGAGGAGTTTGTCTTTGCCAAAGAGTGAGCAGGCGCGGACCCGCCTTTATCCCCGCAGGCTTGGGAGTGTGGGTTGAGCTGTTGTGTCCCTGAGGCTGGTGGCAGGGCCCCCGCTGTGGGTCTGATGGCCGGTCAGGTGTGTCATCACAGCGTGGGGGGGTGTGTTTCAGGTTCCTGGCTAACACCGAGACCTATCTGAAGGACGCAGCCTTAAAGCACATGCCTCCCAATCTACAGAAGGTGGATCTCTTGAGGACAGGTGAGCAGAACATTCACTTTTCAGACATCCGGGGGGCTGTGGTTCACACCCCATGTGTCTGCAGGTGCCTTAGAACAGATCGTCACCTTCACTGTCTTCCCTAGAATGAAGGAAAATAAATATGTAAACAGATGAGCAGAAAAGAGACCGAGAGGAAGGGTTCTGGGTTAAAAACCAAGAATCGTTAAAAGCAGGTACTAGGGTAGCCGTTCATAGCCATTTGAGCATCACTTTTGTGTTCTTCTGGTTCGGAGGAAATTCTCCAAATATAGACTCAGCCTCGTGGTATATTCCGTTACCTCCTGGGCATCCACGCTATGCTGGGCTCTTTTGGGCACAGAAGCTGCCAAGGTCTCTGTTTTCTGGGCGGGGGTGGGAGGGGCAGCCTCCCCTTCACAGATTCCAGGCTGTGCAGGGCCTGTCTCCCCACTCTGGGGGTGAGGGGGGGATGTTAGCCAGAGGCTAGGAGGCCTCCAGGGGATCCCTCAGGGCTCCTGATCTTTATTTGTGAGCAATTTCCAGGCTGTGGACAGGGGAACAGAACTGAGGTGGGGAGAGGGGAGGCACAGCCATCACCCCCTCACCCAGTCCCCCCAAGAGTCTGATGAGCAGAGGGGCAGGGGCCCTGGTGGTAACTCCTGAGGTCGGCTCAGCCAGCGGGGCCCCCGGCGTGTGAGCTCCAGTCCACACCTCATCTTTGCCAGCTCCCTGTCTCCACGCAGGACCTCCCGGGGGCCTGGAGTCCAGGCTCACAAACTGAGTCAAGGACAGCCCACCCTTGGACATCCCCCCACTCAGCCACATCTTTCCCCGACCCAGTCTGGGGGCCACGCGGTGACCCCTGCTGCAGGGGGCAGGCGACTCAGCTCTGGCTGGCATACTCAGTACCGCCGATCAGGGTGCCTGAATAGCAGGCGTGGATTCTCACACAGATCCAGAGGCCAGAGTTGATGGTCAAGGTGTGCTGACAGCGTTGGGCCCCCCAGGCCTCTCCCCTCGGCCTGCACGTGGCTGCCTGCCCCCCCACACACGCACGCACACACTGGTGTCCGTCCCTCTTCTTATCAGGACACCGGTCAGGTTGGATTAGGCAACCCCCCCCCCCAATGGCTTCATTTTAGCCCTTTAAAGGCCATGTCTCCAAATCTATTCTGTCCTGAAGTTCTGGGGGTCAGGGCTTCAACATGTAAATTTTGGGGGACACAATACCAGGAGCAAGCCCAGCCCAGACAGGGTTTGTGGAACTCTGAGCTGGTCGTTTTGGAAAACCTGCCTGAGGGACACAGAAGGCCCAGTCCCTGTCCAGTTCAGCCTCTTTGTCTGCACATATGAGTGGAGTGGGGGCCACGAACCTCATTACTGCCCAGCGCTATCTGTCGTGTCCGTTGGGTTCAGGCAGCTGGGAACCACCGATGGGCCTGCGTTGATTCCTGAGCTGGTCCAGGCCGTTGCCTGGGAGCTCCTTCTACTTGATGCTGGTCAGCGCCTCCTAACACTCAAGCGTTGCTTGTCTTGAGTTCCTTCCAAGGACCAGAGCCAGGCTTCTGAGACTGGAGCTATGCAGTGGGCAGCCTGCCCTGGGGAGATCAGAGCCTGGCTCACCCAGCCCAGATGCCCCGAGTCCCCCTCAGGCCCCTGGAGCATGGAAACCCTGCTGGCAGGGTCGGGAAGGTTGTCGTAACCTAACATCCTTTGAGGGTTTCCTTGAATCAGCAGCTGCTCAGTGGGCTCAGCTGACTCTGCTGAAGTTGGAGTCTCTGGAGGCCCAGAACCCGGGAGCAGCCCGGGGGATCCGTGCCTGACTCTTGCAGCCAGTTATCCTCAGCCCCCTCTAGTGGATGGGGAACCATGGGCAGCCCCACACCAGAGCTGCGCCCTGAACACCGAGTGGTCCAGCAGGTTCTCTGGACCCTACTGGGTGGTGGGGCCCTCCGCTGGCAGTGCAGGGCTGGAGGAGCAGCTGGGTCTGGGCTCTTCCTGACGAGGTGTGGCTGGTGGACGAGGAGAGGCACCAGCCTAACCTGTGATCAACGGAGGGACATGGAGGGGAGCTTCCGGCGGTGGCCTGGGTTCCTCAGCCTGATGTCCGAGGCCATCACCGTGTGACCCCATCTCCCTGATGGCCCGTCCTCCCCCCCTCTCCACAGATCTACTTTCTGGCTCCATTCACACGCCCTGTCCTCCTGAGATGCTCGGGCGTGTTTCTCTCCAGTGGTCGTTGCGCCTTCCTCCCAGGCTTCCCCTCATCTTAAGACCTCTCCACTTGTCCAACCAGCGGGTGCCGAGTTAGACCTTGAAGGAAGTAGGCTGTTTCTGCAAGGAGCCCAGATCTCTCCTCAAATCCTTGCAACAATGCCCCGCGCCCATGCTTTATATCAAGGGTCCCTTCATGATTGAGGCAGTTAAATCTCAGCAGCTCTTCCCTCTTCCCTCTGATTAGCTGAGCATTTTCTGATGATATTACTGTTCTCCTGGCAGTTCCCAAACCAGACCTAGACGCATACGTGTTTCTTAGAGTGAAAGAGCGACAAGAGAACATCCTGGTGGAACCAGAAACGGACGAGCAGAGGTGAGTGACGCCTCTGTTGCGCACAGTGGGAAACAGCCCAAGGGGTTGCCGCTGAGCTGGGCGGGTACAGAGCTCCCCTCCTTTTCCAGGGACTACGTGATCGACCTGGAGGAGGGCTCACAGCACTTGATCCGATACAGAACCATCGCACCCCTGGTCGCTTCTGGGGCCGTACAGCTAATTTAAAACCGGAAGTAACCGAGAAATGGGGCCATGGGACCTCAGAGGACACATTTTTGGAAACCCTGCATGCCACCCCGTGCCGAGGGCAGCAGCGATCTCGGCGGTGCCGCGGATCCCTGGAGCGTGGAGATCTGCTCGGAGCAGATCTTACTTGTCCTCAGCTCTGCCGCTCCAGCCAGAATCAGCAGATGATACCACGGCCGTGCTGGGCCAGCTGCCAGAATCACTGAAACGCCCTTGGTGGTGGTGTTTGAACTGAGGAAAGTGAGGCCAGGGCAGTTCATAGAAAGCCATCACTGTCTGTGATGAGAGGACCCGTGGGCCCAACCTGACTGCAGCACGAGCTTGTGCTCAGCCTTCCTGGTAGGAGGAGTGTAAATAGCTTCAACCGCCTGACCCTTTATAGCAGTCACCGACTCGTGTAAACTCACCTCCTGGAACCTCTCCTCTTGGACATAGAGCTAACCTGTGTCACACTTAGCTGAGCCTCACAAACCAACCAATAAACTATTATTAGGTCTGGGTTTCATGGCAGAAGGAGCTGTGGGCCGTTCCCAGCGTGTGGTCTGATGAGGTTCGTCCTCCCCGCCGCCTCGGCAGGCCAGCCTGCAGGCCATCTGCCGGCCTGGACCTAGTCAGAGCAGCAGCCGCAGCTCCTGTGACCAGCGTTTGGTTTCTCCAGGGAAATGGACGGGATGAAACTCAGTGAGTGGGCAGTGTCACCCAGGGAGGGATGTAGAGACAGCAGATGAATTGTCTTCCCTTGAAACGGGATGCAGAGGAACTGGGTTCCAGCCTTCCTTGCTCCCCGAGAAGGCAGGTCTCCATCTGCGTGATGTAGCCTCATAGAGGAACCGGCGCAGTGTTGCTGACCATTTCCAGGAGAGGACATTCAGTGGAAGCGGGGGAGAGTGTTTTTATTCATTAGTAAAAGCATTTTATGTCTCGTGCAGTGCTTCATCTTCGCCAGAGCATTCTCAGCCTCCTCAGCCATTCCCGAGCAAGCGTTCAGTGAGCAGAATGTGCCGGGTACAGTCCAGTGCACTGGGGTTCCACCCAGAACGAGGGGGTCACTGGCTCTGCTCAGGTGGGAGCAGCGCCTCATGGAGAATCAGAATAGGGGCTCACCAGCATGCTTAGATGGGGTGCTCTGAGGGGCTCTCACTAATTTCAGCTAATCTTACTCAGTTAGGCTGAGGTGTGAATAACAAGAAGGGGCCAGAGACGCAGAGCTCAGAGGGAAGGGCTTTCCAGGCAGAGAAAAGGCAGCTTGTGCAAAGGCCCTGTGGCAGAAATGAATTCTGCCGCAGTCAGTGAGGCTCGAAGGCAGTGGGCACTGTGGAGAGGGTGCAGATGAGGTCTGAGAGGCAGTCTGGGCCCAGGTCACTTCCCGCTTGGTGAGCAAGGACCCCCTGGTCCTCCAGCGTCCTGAGAAGCAGGCAGGGCTGCTAGAGCTGACTCTTTGTGACCCCAGGGACTGTAGCCTGCCAGGCTCCTCTGTCCACACAGATTCTCCAGGCAAGAATACTGGAGTGGGTTGCCATGACCTCCTCCAGGGGTCCTTCCCCACCCAAGGATTGAAGCACGTCTCCCCCATTGCAGGCAGATTCTTTACTGTCTGAGCCTCCAGGGAAGAGATGGAAAAGAGAAGGTGAGCATCTGGCAGTGGGTCTGCACCCAGGTCTCCTTCCTCGGGGTCGCCTGCGTGCTCCCGTCCCCCCGCTTCCGCTGCTGTGGAGAGGAGAGGCTGGAGCTGTGTCGCGTCACCCACTCCCTCCCGCGGGAGCCAGGCACGCAGGGGAGGGGTATGGTGTGTGTTGCTCCACTTCCTAGGTCACCTCTTCAAAGGAAGATTGGTTTAGATGAGTCATTTCAAAATAAAGGGGAAGCTGAATTTCAAAACCAAGTATAGGGAATCGGTGTGATTTAGTGTGACGTTGTCTCTAACATTTTCAACGCGTGGGGAGCATTTTGCTTTATAGGTAAAAGCGCATCACTGGAGGCACGACGGGACGTCGATTCAGGTAATGGCATCACACTCTATTACAAGCTTGTCACCAGCGAGATTCCTGAGAAGTGCTTGCAGGCCCCTGTCTGAGTTTTCCAGCTGCAGCAAAAGCATGTATCAGCTGTGACCTTGCAGCAAGGCCCCGGCTGTGTTCACTGCCCAACCACAGCCTTCCGCCCCATCGTGCACACCCCCGCTGCCTCTGCGAGGGACGTGAGTTGACCGTGAAGCTCTCAGAGGGAACTGAACAAGCAGGTCATTCACCAATACTTCAGAAAGATGTCGTATGGTATCGCTTATATGTGAGATCTAAAGAAAAAAAAAAAAATGAACTTATTTCCGAAACAGACCCACAGGCATAGAAAACCCAGGCTACCAAAGGGGAAAGGGGGGTGGGGGGAGAGTGACAAATTAGGAGGTTGGTATTAACATATGCTTATTACTGTATATAAAATAGGTAACCAACAAGGACTGACTATACAGCAGAGGGAATTACACTCAATATTTTGTAATAGCCTATTAGGGAAGAGAATCTGAAGATGTATACATATATAATATATAAATATTTACACACATATATATAACTGAATTGCTATGCTTGTATACCTGAAACTAACACAGTATTGTAAATCAACTTTCAATTAAAAAATACTTCATGTAATATTAAGCGATTTATAATGGGAGGCTAAACATTCCAAACATTTAGAGTTGTTGAAAATTGATTTTTTTGTGTGTGTTATGGTAAAATACATATAGTTGCCATCTTAACCATTTTTTTTCCCATTTATTTTTATTAGTTGGAGGCTAATTACTTTACATCATTGCAGTGCATCTTAACCATTTTTAAGTGCACAGTTCAGAGATATTAAATACCTTGTTGGTATCTGTCACCATTCTCCATGCCTGTGACTTTTCATCTTATAATATACCCGTTAAATAGTAACTCGTTGGACCCAGTCCTTGAAAACCACCAAGCTGCCTTGTCTTTATGGTTTTGACTACTCTAAGTACCTCGTTCAGTTCAGTTGCTCAGTTGTGTCCGACTCTTTGCGACCCCATGAACCGCAGCACGCCAGGCCTCCCTGTCCATCACCAGCTCCCAGAGTTTACTCAAACTCATGCCCATCGAGTTGGTGATGCCATCCAGCCATCTCATCCTCTGTC